GGGGAGGGAGAGGGGGAGGGATCCCCTGTAACAGACCCTCACAGTGAGAGGTTGCTGAGGGGTCAAGAAAGGCTGAGAGTCACCTGGTCACATCCAAGTTTGACTCCCCAGGTGAACTTGGGCTGGTGGCTCCACTCTGGGCTTGAGACTTGTCACCTGAACACCACAGGTGGTTATCAGGCCACCTCCTAGGTACTGTGCAAGGAAGTAACCTAATGGAGGAACAAGTGCTTTCTAATCTGATTATCAACCTGGCCGGACCCTCCAGGGCAGTACTATTATCATCTTAAAGAGGCTCAGAGAACGGAAGCGACAAGCGCCCTTCCCAGAAGAGGGGCTTCAGCCCGTGCGGGCAGGTCCTGGCGCAGGCAGGCAGGGAGTGGATCTGCGTGGTCGCGGTCCAGCAGGAGCCTCTCGCGCCCCCTGGTGGCCGTCGTAGCACCCGGTCTGCAAGACGCTCACGGTCCGGTCCGGGCAATCAGGCCTTCTCTGCCCCTCAGCCCACGTTATCGTGCCCGTTTCACAGGCGAGGAAACTGAGCCTGGGGAGTGGCAGGGACTGGCCAATATCTCCCTAAACTGGGTCGGTGGCTAAACGAGGACCGGGACCCGTGCAGCCCCAGCCCCAGTATAGATGAATCTGGTCCTTAGACTTTCAGGGAAAGCCTCCCAAGTCACTAAAGCATTTTCCTCTACGCCCCACCTTTTAGTTCCTCGCCATGACGCAGCCTCCTTTCCCCCTTTTCTCTCTTAAAAAAAAGGGGGGGAGCGACAAGAAAGCTCTGGGACAAGTATGTGGTCAGTACAATGGGTCTGATGTCACCTCTTCCACAGAGCCGCGGTGACGGTTCAATGGGAACATGTTTGTCCGGAGCGTTGGAAACGTTCGGCCCTCCGTGCTTCCCACTCCCCTCCCACCTGCCGGTGGCCTTCACCCTCCTCCCAACCCGAGGTCGTGGGAGCAGCGGTTCAGAGGTCTGTCATCTTCCAGCAGAGGGCGCCCTAACCGCGGTTTCCTTCCTCTAGGATGCATTCAGGATCCTCCGGAAATCCTCGGAGGCGTGCGGAGGGGAGGGCACATCACACCCATTTGACAGATGCAGAAACTGAGGCTCATGGAGGCAACACCTGTAAATAGCAGAGCCAAGAATTCAAACCAGGTCCCCAGTCAGTCTCTTACTGAGCACCTACTACACACGCTCTGTGAAGTGTGAGGGAGGCGCTCTGATAAATATGGGCTTTCAGAGAGTGATGGCGCTTCGTCCTACCTTGGGGGGCACAGTAAGATAAAGGCTCTGAGACGTGGGTGAGGTCCAGTATATGCACAAAGCAGAGGGAGGGATAGACTGGCGGTGGGGGGGGGGGGGGGCCTGGGGAGGTGGGAGGAATGAAGGCACAGATTCATAGAAGGGATCCTTGAGAAGTCATTTGGAGTTCTGTCAGGGCAGGAAAGGCAGTTCCGACAAGGAGATCAGCAAGTGCAAAGGCCCGGGGGCAAGCAAGCACTGACACATGGCTGGAGCCAAAACTCAAAGTGCCATGCACCTCCCCACCCCTCCACTCCCCTGCCTCCTCAGACCTGCCCCTCCCAAGTCGACTCCATCCTTCCAGCATTATTCAGGCCATCACCTGGATATCCTGGCCAGCATCCTTACCTCCCCTCTCACATCCGCATCCTGTTGGCCCTACCTCTAAGATGTAAGAATCCAATCACTTTTCACCCCCAACTGCTGCTCATCACTCAGGTCCCAGCCCCCATCATCTCTGTCTCCCTAATCGTCTCTGCTTCTACCCTTGCCCCCCGAAGTCTCTTTTCAACCCAAAGGCCAGGTCAGACCATGTCACTGCTTTGCTCAGAACCCTGGAAGGGGGCCCCGTTTTATCAGAGTAAATGCCAGAGACCTCAAAATGGCCCCCAGGCCCTGGATAATTTGCCCGTGCCACCCACCCCCTCTGAGCCCATCTCCTGCCCTGCTCCCTCTCACTGGACCCCAGCGCCCTGGCTCCGTGCTTTTCTCAGGACACAAGGCACCCCAAGGCCTTTGCACCTGCTGTTCCTTCTGCCTGCAAAACTCTTCCTCCAGACACTTGCATGCCCCCCCACCACCTGCACCTCCTTCAAGCTTTTGTCCAAATGTCATCTTCATGTTGAGGCCTCCCTGCTGTGACATCTAAAACTGCAGAACCCGGCCCTGCCGCCAAGGTGTTCCCTGTCCTCTCTACCAATTTACTTTTCTCCATAGTACTCGCCCCCATCTATCATGCTATATACATTATTTATTTGTCTTGTCTCTTGTCTCTTTGTTTTGTGCACTGTTGTATCCCCAGAGGCTAGGCTAGGCTCTCCCCTGATATTGGGGAAGTGAGGGATGGGTAGAAGTTCCAGCAGAGAGGGAGGCCAGAGAGGGAAGCATGGGCAGGGGGCCTCCTAGGGTCATGCCAAGGTATCTGACATCTCTGAGAGGCCAGCGTGGGGTCTCTAAAGGGGGTACGCAGGGGAGGGTAACATGGATTAGATTTTAATTCTACAATTATTCTCTGGTTCCAAAAACAGGTTGGAAGAAGCAAAACAGGGTGGTGGAAGAGAGGAGCAGTTGCCAGGCTCTAGCAGAAGACTAGGGAGAGGAAAATTAAAGTGAACAATTTTTAGGAGCGATTAGTTGCTGAGGGTGGGGGCCAGGGTGTAGCTAGGGAGTTTCCTACTGGAAAATTTAGGACTGATTTGAGGTGGCGTGCTTCAGGGGGCAGGGTGACCAGCCAGCCCAGAGGGAAACAGAAGCCTGGGAGGAGCCCAGGGACAGCTTGGGAGGGGCCTGATGTCCCAGGCCCAGTGGCAGCACCACATATAAACCCTGAGTGGTGGGTGAAGAAACCAGACGGCTGCATCCAGGAGGCAAGAGTCCAGGAAGCAAGCTGGTGCCTACTGGGGGCTGTGGGAGTGGCAGATCCAGCCTCACGGGGCTCCCCCGTCCTGCACCCTGCCGGAGGGTCCCCAGTTGACAGACCACTGTGGCTCAGAAGGGGACGGTGGCTTGCCTCACAAGAAGACTGGCTCTGTGGTCTGGCTCGGCCTCCAAGGCACTGGTGACCTTGAACAAGTCACTGCCCCTAGTGGGGGCTCTTACCGATAAGCCCCGCCCACCCCTGCTGCCTCCAGCTCCCTGACCCACCTGGCTGGGGAGATTCCTCATTTTGGGGGAAGGAGGGAATCTGGGCTCTGCGTCCCAGCCTGGGACCCCATTAACTCCTTAGGAATTGCAGAGATCTGATAAATCCCCCTTCCACATCCTCATGATACGTGTGGGACTCTGAAGTGTGTGTGTGTGTGTGTGTGTGTGTGTGTGTGTAACCAGCTCAGCATCACACAGGAAGGGGAGAGTGGAGGCAGGATTCCAGTGTACGTCTCCACAATAGTGGGAAGGGTCGGGGCAGACGGGAGAGAAGGAGAGGAAGGGAAGGAGGCAGGAGTTGGTGATGGGGAGGGAGAACATTACAGAAGAGCCACAAGATCTGGCTCGCGTGGCTGAGAGGGTCCAAGAATGAGAACAGTAGCGACATCTATCCCTTCGGTCCGTCGGCGAATAGTTGCTGAGCACCTCCACGTGCCACGCGCCGTTTCTAGGCCTCAGGGACACCGAGGTAAAGGAAAGAAAAACCTCTGTTCTAGCAGAGTTTCCTGGTGGAGAGAAACATACAATAAACAAAGAAACGAGAACCAATTTTAAAAGGTAAGATGTTAAACGGCGACAGGCGTTATTTAAACGATAGAGCAGGGGGCTGGGGGCTTCTGTGTTACCGGAGTGCTCCAGGAGTTCACGGGAAGGGGGGCACAGAGGGATGGGAGGGAGGTGAGGAGTGGGCTGTGGGGAAAAGCTTCTGGAGAGGGAGAAGGCAAGTGCAAGGACCCTCTGCAGCCAGAGCAGGGGCTCAGTTTCCTTGCCTGTAAATGGGAACACCACCTGTAGCAGGGCAGCCTTGATGATGTGAAAGGATGGCATACAGTAGGCCCTCAGGGAATGCTGCCCCGATCCAGCTGACTGAGCCCCGGGGCTTGCTGTGTGACCCTGGGAAGGTTACTTAACCTCTCGGAGCTGGCTTTCTCAGCTGGCGAGTGGGGGGAGGTAGAAATGAAGGATGCAGAATGGAGCTGGGAAGAAAATAGACATTTCTGCCATGATCTGGAAAGTAAGGGTAGGTAATGAGCTCCCTGTCCCAGGAGGTATGGGAGCAGAGACCAATTGTGCGCTAATCGACACCTGCCATGGGGTTAAGACGTGCACTTGTTATTTGATGCATTAGTACTGCGCCTCCAGGGTCAACGCGAGCTCACAACGCCAGCTGCTACCGTCTCGTCTATCTGTCACAACCCAGCTCCTCGGGCAGGGGCCGACGCCTCTGTCATTCCCAATTCCCATCGTATACATGAGGAAACCAAGGCAGAGAGGGCAAAGCCACTCGTTCAAGGTCACTCAACCGGCACGCGGTGGAACCCATGCCCAGGCGGTCTGAATTCAGAGCCCACATTCTTCTGATCACAAACTCAGTGTGTGGCCCGAGGGCCCCCACTTTCTCATCTGCACGTCAAAATCTCCCGGCTGCTAGCTATCTGAATGAGCCATCTCTGACATTCTGGCTGGGTCCCCCCCATGACTTGCAGCCCCACCAGCATCGTGTGCGGCAGAAAAACCACCCAGCTGGGCCCAGACAACCCACGGAGTCGCGAGAGAGAATAAAATGGATTTATTTTAAGCCGTTTGTTACACAGCCGTAGGTCGATAAAACAGCATTCAGCGACAAACATTTGCTGGGCGCCTCCTGGGTACCAGGCACTGTATTATGCACTCACTAGAAGCTCATCTGTCTCCAGCTTTGGAGTGTGCCTCCCCCCACTGTCGTCTGAGCCGGGCCTGGGCAGGAGCACGCGGTGGCGGGGACTGTCTCTCCAGAGAGGCCGTTGACAGCACTGATGATGCTCTCGTAGCTGGGCGGTGGCAAGGGGGGCTGGGTCCCACGCAGGGCATCCCCGGAGGCACAGTCCTTCGGGCTTTCTTCCGCGGGGTACGCAGGGGGTGTCGGGGGCCCCTCGGCAGGTGGCGTCGGGGGCCCCTCGGCAAGTGGCCAGCCCACGGCCTCCTCGTAAGTGGGGATGCCAACCACCTTTGGGACCCTGCAGGACAGAAGAAGAGAGGCTGTAGCAGGGGCAAGGGCAAACGTACTGCACGCCAGGGAAAGAGCAAGGGAGGCTGGGGCTGGGGAAGACTTCACACCCTGTCCAAACCCATTGTGGGCCCCAGGTACACACTCAGAGCTTGGAATGAGTCAGCTCTGCCAACCGCAGCCCTCCCACTCTGCCCGCCCCATCCTGTGAGTTCCCCACACGCGCTCGCTCGCTGCAACTCCTCAGTTCTCTCTGCCGGGAAGGTCCGTCCTCCCCCACCCCGCTCCCTGCTGGCCCATCCCCACTTGTCCTTTGAGGCTCTTCTGGGAAGCTTTCTTGACTGGTCCCCCCTCTCCGCGCAAAGCTCTCGCTCCCTGCTCTGGGCTCCCAGAGGGCTCTTCCCCGACACTGCATTGACCCTACCAGGTCCCCTAGGTTGTCCCTGAGGGCAAGGATGGACTTTGAGCATCCATGGGCTGAGGGCAGGTGCCTGGGGATGTTTGTTGAAAGAAGGATGGCTCATCGGCAGAAAGACTTCTAGCTTATTGTAATAATCCCTTACAAGATCCGGAGTTGTAGATACTCCAGGCGGGATGGGAGACATCGATGCTTCTGCCCATCTGGATGCTTGAGGCCCCAATATGGCAAGTCTGCGAAGTGATTACTTCCACTTGCATACCTCCAGAGATGGAGAGCTCACTACCTACCAGGTCAACCACATCCATCTCTAAACAGCCTGGCTTTCCTGTGACTTGCCCTACCTCCAACAAATGAATGACCCCGCAGGGACTTGAGGCACAGACCAGGTCTTCTGTGGCTTCTGTGACCGGCCCCCACAGGTTAGATTCAAAAAACAGGTTACCTGTATTCTAGCCTCAATGCTGATGGGAACGAGGCTGGCCCTCAGTCCTCTCAGAACCCTGGCGGGTCACCTCTGGGGAGGTGGTGCTTCTTTCCCTTCCCAGGACGCCAGGGGACAGGAGTGTCATTGATCCCACGTCTGAGCTGATTCCCCTTTGGGGATGATCCTGCCAGATACAGGAGCTGACCAAGTGACCTTGAAGGTCGCTTCTCGCACCAAGTGACTGAAGGGCTGGTTATGAGCCTGGGCTGTGGCTAGTTCAACTCTCTGCTATGCCACATTCTTGGTGGTAGATCATGGGTCAGTAACTCCATTAATCTGAGCCTCAGTTTCCCCATCTATACAATGAGGACAGCAAGGGCACCTACCTCCCAGGACTTTATGAAGATTAATTGAGATAATACAGGGGAAGGGGCACTTAGCACATGTTCTGTGAACAGGAGCTGATAACAAAATCTCAAAAGTCTCTGCGAGGAAGGGGTGTGGGAGACAAAAGTTATCATAGATCACCCGCACGGTAAGTGCCATACAGGCTATCGCTTGCCCAGAGTTATCAGTCTGGAGCTGGTGGGGAAGCAGTTCAATGCATACCATGGGTTCTGCCGGTGTAGACAGGGGAGGGGCTGGTGGCAGGAGGCTGGCCCCGGGGGGTCGGAGGAGGTAGTGGAGGGAACTTCACTCCAGGGGCTGGTAGGGGGCAGTGCTGGGTACCTGCTCTCACCCCTCACTTGAGCATCCACCCCCCGCCGGGGACATGGCCCTTCTCTGGACAGCGTGTCTTCTCAGCCCGAGCCAACCGCAGCCATCAAAGTGACCCACTGGGGAGGCAGGCTCGCTGCTCCAGCCATAGACAGAGTCATGGAGTAGGCTGGTGGGGAGCTCAGGGTTAACCCCCAGCCTGCATGCCAATCTGATAGAGGGCACCGGCCAGGAGCCAGATCTGGGCTCCCCATCCAGTGCTGTGACACATCTCTCCCACAGACCCTCCTCCTCTGGAAGGCAGCCCGGGAGCCCTGCTACTGAGGGAGCTGATAAGGGGTCTCAGTCTCCCCGCAGCTCCCAGCATCCTTTGCACGTGAGGGCAGGCAAAGAATATTGCTTCTGGAGGCAAGCGGGCTAGACTCCACTGTCTCGTGCTGTGCCTTGTTCACATGGCCCCTCTGAGCCTCCTTCTCCTCATCTGTAAAATGGGGATGAGAATTCCCATTTTATAGATTCAGGGGAGGGGAAAATGGAAAAAGCTTTGACAGCACTCGGAAAAATGCGGGTAATACAGCTTCCAGAGCCCTATGTCTCCCTCCCCTCCCGCGTGCCCCAGCCACACCCCTGCTACTCCCTGGTTCCCCAAGCCCTGGAGATGCCAGACAGATTTGGGGTATGCCTGGACCACCGCAGCAGGCAACAGCTGGCAGGGCAGGGCACAGATGCCAGGGAAGCTCACCCCACAGCAGGAAGTTTGCTTAGAGGGCAGACGTGGAGTGGCCCTAGTGCCACCTGCTGTCACATTAGTAGCCAGCGTGGCCCAGCCAGCCCCAAGTCCTGTTCCTATGGTCCAGAGGCTGGGAACTGGGGGAACAGGAGGCCCCATGCAGAGCTGCCATATCACACACACACACACACACACACACACACACACACACA